AATCAATAATTATTTAATTTTGATGTTTTTATATAAATGTTATGAGTACGAAAAAGTGTTTCCTTCCAAGGTGTGATAATGATTTACATTTTACATTCATTATTAAAAATATTTATTAATGTTGCTAGAAATATGAAAAGAAGAAAATTATTATTACACAGAAACGTTTCAAGCAACAGCTCAATTATTTTGAGGTTTGTATCTATACTCTTTATTAAAATGAAAATGTATTATTGTAATTTATTAGACTTCAATTATCTACCATTGTAGTAACGATGTTTTTTCTTTTTTTTTTTTTAATACCAGATTATTTTGAAAACTGTTCATTTTTTAAATGATTGATAAACCTTTACATATTAAGAAGTAAGTAGTACCATACAAATGTCTCTAAAGTTCTTGTTATTCACCACACAAGAGCCAGCTCACTGGATCTACCAATAAAAGAAAAACAGAAAAACAAAAAAAATGTCTTCTAAAAAGTTGACTGAAAAATAACCTTCTACCAGTAGCGTTTTTCATCTTTATTTAATAAAAATACACCGGATTTTCAAGATGCAGCAGCAATTTCTGACATTGTCCACTTCGGGAAATTTAAAACGAGCCTATTATAAGTTCGAAGGTATATAACCTAAAAACCCTTCTGCAAGATTATCCAGAACCTCCTGAAAGTTTTGCCTGAATCAAAGGAAACATCTTTGATATCTGATTCAGAAGGACTTAATAATAATGAGCAGGATCTTCAAAACAAATGAACTCTAAAAATAATTAAAAATAAAGGTATATTTAGGATTGCCTAATAGTGTATTTAAAATTCTCAATTATACTTATGAGAAGGAAAGTGTAGCTTAAGTAAACCTTTTACATTTCTGTGTGAATTAGTGGTATTATTAACTTAGAACTTATTAAGAACTTATTTAATAAACTGTTTGTGTTTTTTATTATTTCATCACATTTCAGAGATTATATTAATTGCATACAACCAAAAATGTAAAATTTTATTTATTAACCTATTATTAAAAAATAAAAGTACCTGAATAAGATAAACGAAGTAAAAAAAATATATACAAGCCCTAACAATAATGCAGTTGCACAAATTAAAGTTTTCTCTAAAGATTCATTATCAAATCCGACTTGTTATCTGCCTCATTATTTACTTCAAACTTTTGGCTTTTTTAACAAACTGATTATTTAGAAATATTTTTACAGTGACTATAATTATTTATAAAACAGCATATCTCACATGTGAACATGGCCCATTATAGAATCGAATTACATTTTGTCTTATCATCATTATACAAAATAAAATTATTATTTCACCATATAACTGAATCATCTATAGTGGACGAACAATTTCTTTCTGAATTTATTTCAGATCTATCAGAAATAAGAACAGTTATGTCATCGGCATATCTTATAAAATTTGCTTAATCATTAATGTTACCTGAGTCATTTGTATAAAACAAAAAGAGCATAGGTCCCAGAAAGTATTCTTGTGGAACACCTTAAATTATTCTTTAATGTTTACTCATGGCACTGTGGTAACTGTAAAAAGACTAGGAGTTTGATTATTCAGCAGAAGAGAAGATTATTTACCATACTATAAATAAACCCGAGAACGTTTAATACAACCTTACAAGCAAAATGGTTTACAATATTGGTCCCAAAAGAGTTGTTAAATCTCCTGCATGTAAACAAAATTATTAAACATGTTGACTGAGAGCCAGGCAATTCTTAAAGCCTTGCGCTTCAACAGAGTTCATTCAAAACTTAAAATGCTCGGGACTTTTTTGACATTACTAAAAATACTAATCCCCAATCTCAACCATGACCTTCATTAGAAGATTTGATTTCTAATTTAGGCATGAGTCGTAATAAAGCACAATGGAAAGAATGGTATTATTCAACTCATTACAAACCTAAATAAAATCAAATTTAAAAAAAAAAAAATTTACATCATCTTTTTATGAATATGAATCGTTACTCTGATACCCGTATGTCAGTACAAAAACACCGACAATAAAGATATTTTAATCATTTTATTTATCAGATAAGAATATTATAAAAGTATCTTATATGGCTTGTACTTTGTAATGTAATAACTGTTAATAAAAATGATAATAACCGAATAAAAAAAAGTAAATTGGCGAATTGATCAATCAAGAGACCTCTTTTTTGTAGCTTTTCCTTTTAATTTTTAATCAATGCTTTTATGGGGTGCCTTGATTTACCAGGGGCTAGCCTCTGTCTGTGTGAGCCAGTAATTAACGATAATCGAGATAATAAAATTCGTAATAATTTTTAATTGACTTTTTTTGTGATGTCGACGAAACAAAGTAATATTTAAATTGTTATAAAAAACTATAAAAAAAAATATTGAGACTACTATGTCCTTAATTTCAAACCTGTTTTTTATCGCAGTAAAAAATGTAGCAGAAATTACAAGGTATAAAACTAATAGTTTTTTTTGCGTTACATAAAAAAATGTTTTACAAACTAAAAGGTGCTATTATTGAATCTCCATCTCCATCACAAGTGTGATGAGTAAAATTAATAATTCGAAACTATTAATAGTTTGGAAAAGGAAGCTATAAAACGGAATAAGAAAAGATAATTAACTAGTATCATAGTACAAAATGTTAATAGTAATAACAGGGATGGTATAAAAAGCATGATAACATAACTGTCTTAAATTACCTTCTAGATTTTTTGCGAAAAAAACATTACAATTTGTGACTTTTTACATTGGTGTCAACAAGTTTTACTCTGAAACATGCACCATAATAACCGTAATATAAACCATGTTATCAAATAGTTAAATAGACATTTCACGTAATAAAATATTATGGAAACACATTAAAATGTACGTTAATGTTTATGGCTGCATTCAAAATAAATGTAACTACCGATCTTCATATCCATTTTGCACATAATACAAGTTAACCTCAAAGTGTTATGTTCTTGAGAAAGGATATGCGAACAACACATTTTTATTTTTAACACGTTGTCTACCGTATCATAATTTCAAGTTTTAATTCACTGTTACTTAAGCTTTAGTAGATTTTACGAATAAAACCCGTAAATAAAAATTCAAAACTACAGGATTTAGGCGTTTAGTTAGTTGATTGCCATTTCCGTTTCAATTTAATATTACAGCAATGGCATGGTATGTGACATTCCTAAGAGATTTAGATGTTCTCTTAAATTGCAGTTCTTTTCTGATAAGGTTTGTGAGTTGGTTCTGTTTATTTTTGGATAAAGTCCAGGAAGTACCTACCAGAGCTCTCTATTTTCCTATTGTTTTAACAATACTTTAACATGTTTACATAAAATATCACAAGTGGATTGGGATTGGGGTCCAATTAGTTTCACAGCTCACTTCCTGTCTAGGACGTTTGTTTTTTCAATTCTCAACAATCCTGCTTAACCCTTCAAATGGTTACTTTGTTATGTTCTTCCATGACCTTGACAAATTGTTAGCAGTACTTCTTCCCTTTTCTGTGCTTTCTGTCTGGCTGTCTATCATAATAATCCTTATCCTCAAGAGAGTTGCATAGCATGATCTGAGAACAGACATTTATTGCTGTTACTATCCTGAAAGACTTGCAAGTAGATCCAGTTTTATTAATCTTGTGGTCTTCCCTGAGTTTGTACAGTATATTCCAGCTCCAGTGCTAACATAAGTATATCCATTGCGTTGGAATTTTTATTTTTTTCTGTTTTTAATGGAATGTTGACTTTTTCTTAAATGTTCCCACCCAGATTCATTGTAAACAGCTTGTGCAACCCATAATCTTTCGCCACCACGAGGTATAATAGAAGGACACTCAGTAGTAATTCGTTTGCAGCAGTGGGCATACTTCTAAAAACGTCTGTTAATATAAGATAGGCCAATCATCGTTCTACCATGTCTAGTTTTTTCCAGTAGTTGCGCTTTAACCTTATGTCACTATATAACTGCTGAGTAAGTACGTATAATGGTTACTGCAACTCTAATATAAAGCCAGTACGTTATACTGTGTTGAGTGAGCCCACCTAAAGACTTTTTTTTAAGTTAGAAAATGCTCTTACGCACACCCCTACGTTGTTCAGGGGTAGTGTAGGACTCACTAAAAACCACCTTCTGTAGGCCAAGACCTCTCCCGGGACTACCTTAGCGGTATAACGTCGGGAGATATCGCCGTCTTTCTCAAGGTCTTGAGCCTCTCTCGTCTATCTCTTTTTGTTTAAGGACTTCAATAATAAAGCGATGTCTAACTTTTCGTTGCTCCATCTGCGACACCGGAAAATGGTGTACTCGGGATCGTCCACTTCTTCATTACAATAGACACACTTCGTATCTGGGACCTTACCAATCCTGTGCGTGTATGATGTAAAACATCCATGACCGCTAAGAAATTGGGTTAAATAATAATCTATCTGTTTGAAACGGCAGTCCAGCCATGCTGTCAAATCGGGTATAAGAGTTTTTATCCACTGTACTTAGAGGACTCAAATCTTTTTCTGTTCTTTTCTTATATGACTGAAAAAGCTCTGCTAAGGATGATTATAAGGCATTTCCTTTGCTATTTGCAATTATTATCCCCACATATAAAGCACCTTCATTCTTTGAAGGTTCCTTTTTATTGTTAAGAAGACTACAGAGGTTTTTAGTGCTCTATGAGAGCCACATTAACCTTTTACTTCTACTACATCATCAAGAAATGCTTACGCGTACAGGGTTTCTTTCTACTGCTCCAATAAGAGATCAACAACCATAAGTGGATATAAAGACAAAACTCTTTAGCTCAAGTAACGCTACTGCTTCAAAATAAAATCGTTTCCCACTTAGTTTATGCTACGAGTTTACCCGTTTGGGCCTCAATCTCGATAAGATGGGAACTACCAATTAAGCACCTCAGAGAATATATCAAATAGATTTGACTATGGTTCAAACTCAAAATAATAATAAACATCAAAGAATAAGAAATAAATTTTATAGTAATTTTTTTTTTCGGTTACAGGAAACGAAAAGAAAGTCTAGATTCAACTTCTTCACACCCAGCGGGTGATATACCAGTAGTGGGTCAACGTGGTATGGCAGAGTTGTCCGAGGGGGCAGCGCCTCCAGAGGATCAACAGAATTGGAGAGCATTTTACGAACATCCTTTGACCGCAGCCACAACAGCAATGCTCAACATCGGGGGCGGTGCTGAAGACCAATCCACAGCGATGGGACTGATTTACGAATACTACAAATTACCTGATTCCAAAGATAAATTAGCTGATATTTGGTCGTAAGTATTATTAATATGTATTAAAAATGTTAGCTATAAACTCGATTATACAAAGAGACCCTAAAATTTCATGTTCTACTTCCAGTATGAGCGAAAATGACAGAACTGTCAAAATATTTTAGATAAAATCAGTTTACTGTTCTTACTAAGATTTAACAAAATATGACTATTAGTTTATCAGATATAGGTGTCCCCGTCGCTGGACAGGCTGTATATATTCTTTCATAGGCTTTGACTAATGCATTGACTATTTGCTTCTAATATATTTTTGATCACTAGCAAATAGGTCAGTGACAATTTTACTATTGTGTATCGATATCTGCGGTGGAGCCAGGCCGAGCGCAGTTAGTAGTTGGATGGCTGACCATCTCAATGCGTAGTTGCATACCACAGCGGGCAAGCGTTATATCAATGAGTACGAGGTATAGCGTGGGGTGTGTGCTACCTTTCGGAGGAGATGTAAAGCTCCCTACGTCTGGTTGGACCACTAGAGGATTCGGCTAAATTTCTGATATGTAAGGCCCGCGTGCTCACCAGCGTCGGTGTTTATACCTCTTAATAAGAAATAGGCCGACGTTAATAAATTAATTTTAAAAAATCACTAGCAAATATAGGTAACTAAGAACTAAACAACGATCATTTATTCCGAAGATATATTTTACAAATGAAATAGGACGAGACGAGGGTAATAAGAACATAGTTGAATGACTTCATGCAATACACGCATAAATTATGTCGCGTCTCCAGGCTACTAGAGACCAAACTAAGAAATAATACTTGAAATGCACGCAAGCCGTAGCTCACCCACCTTATTTACTTATGTTTTAATTCTGATAAGCCCCAGTCGAAGTCGTTTGTAGTTTCTCGTTGGCGTCTTTAAATCAGATCAACAGTGAAACTAAAGAACGCTCTGATAGATTATAAGACTAAAGATGACAGTTGTCTAGTGATCGATAACGGCTTTTCAATGTACTCTTGATTAATTACAAATTCTAACTAATCTCATATGCATCTTCACAATTGAAACTGACAAATGTCATCCACCTATTAAATAGAATATTTCATTAAATACCTATCTATTATATTCCTATTAGAAAGATACAAATATGGAGTAATTTAAATATTTTTTTCTAAAGTAGGCCATGGAAAAAGCCACGCATGTAGGAGCTTACAGTTCTTCTTTTTGTTTAAATAACAATTTGGATTTCGTTCAAAGACATATGTGGTTATCATGGGCAATTTCAGTTATTACATCTTTATCATAAATTTTTCGAAAAAAACAATAAAAAAAAAGCTAGTTTCCTTCTTAAAGAAACACAACATAATTCCTGGAAAACAGTTTGGTTTTAGTCTGAACTTGGGTCACTGACAACAGTCTTCCAGGCTGAAGGGAGCGGAAAAAACTCTAATCGGGCTAAAACCCACATGTGGTATTTTACACCATGTTAAACAAGAACAAATAAATAGAAAAGACCATAGGCTCTAGTTGGAAGATTCATAGAGAGGCCATCCAAGATCAGACAAAATCAACTGCTAAACCTTAGCAGAAGCGAACTCAAGGCCGTAATAGGACTTCTTACGGGACACTGCGGAATTAGAAGACACCTAAATCTCTTAGGGATGTCTGATGACTCCTTATGTAGAATATGTGAAGAGGAGGCCGAAACTCCCATTCACATACTATGCCACTGTCGGAACCTTAATTGGAAACGGAAATGGTACAATATTCGAAACCTGAAGAAATCGCAAAAGCGCCCATCAAACATATTCTTGACTTCATCAAGAAAATCAATCTGATGGGGTAGAAACTGTGAGGGGTACAATAAGCCAAGAGCTTCAGTACGAGTGGGTTTTGAACCACGCCCTAATTAATAAATAAGAGGGTGGCTAGACTTTGGAAATCTATTTTCTAATAGCCGGAACACCCAATCTATTAAAACCCTCTAAGAACATCCACATCTATAATTTAGATATTTCCATCGTTAACAGCAATCAGCACTTTAACATTTATTAATTACTTATACTTAAAACTTAATTTATTTTAAAACCAGATTAGATTATAAATTGCATTCTCTTTTATTCGCAATGATTTGACTGTTCTTAATCACCCCTGTATATTTTATTCATAAATAATCATTAATGATTAAATCTAATATTGAATCTCCAATACCTACACTATCATAAGCTGATGACTTTAGGCCTTATTACAAGATTTAAATCAACGCAACCGAGCATAATAAGTGTTTTATTGTTTTAGATATCACATCAATGTATTCTTACAATCAGTAAAAAGATAATTTTTTATTTTTACATTTAGATTCAAAAGATTATATTTTGTGCAATATTTTGATTTAAAAAATCCTAAAACATAGTTGTATCTGTAAAAAGACAATGTATAATTGATTAATAAAAAACAAACAAATATTAAAACAATTCAAATAAGTAAAAATATAATTGATTTCATTAATTCTAAATATTTGGAAGTGAAAATATTCAAGGGTGGCTTCACACACATACACTGTTGGATAAAAGTGAAGAAACTTTTATGGTAAAATCAGATATTTAACACGTTGACTGCCGAAGCGAATTTCGTGGTCGGGTCCGCTAAGCCCCTGAACCGAAGTTGTTTTTCTAAAAATTAAGATTGTTTTTACGTTTTGGCAGTAAAGTAAATTAAGAGTTAATACTTATGTAAACTACAATATCCAATCGAAGCGTGAATATTTTAGTCATGCTTTAAAACCAGGTAAAGGACGGACCTAATTTTTTGTTTGTACACATTATATATCTGTACCAATCTATGTGGAAAATATTTTTGTTGGTAGAAAAATCTGTTTTTGTTGTCACAATATTTTATAAAAGAAATTAAAAAAATATATTTTTACTTTTGTCTAATATAATGTGCAAAAGGAATGTAGTACATTTATTTTCCTTTATTTATTTGTTTAGTTAGTTATTTATAGGAATAAATACTTTATGAATGGAAATAAAATGTTGTCAAAGATAATTATGTAACAAAAAACGTAAATAGGAATCTATTACTAAACCAACTTAAATAGTGTTAATTCCAGGCTTATTTTACAGATTTCCTATAAGAAATACACGGTACATGTTCGTATTTTAGAGATATGTTGCCTGAAATCAAGCGCTGCTTGTGAATAATATGTATGCACATGGCGCGATGGGAAAGTTGGGTGTGCATAATATATATACACATGGCAGCCATGGAAATCAAAATTCATGTAGTTTAAGTGGTCATAGTAGGTTGCTGTTTTTTTGTTGTTTTAACCCTTCAACCATATTTGTCATTTTTGACTGGTTAAATGAAATATTTTTTTTCTTAAAAGTTATTAATAATAAAAGTTATTGTTGAAATAAATTATTACACACTAACTTGTATGACTTTTTCAAACAATTCCCATTTCACCTATGACAGCAACCTAATGACCACTTAAACTGCATGAATTTTGATTTCCACGGTAGCTCATTTCATTTTAAATAATTAAATATTTGATTTTATCATAAAAATTGCTACGCTTTTGTCCAATAATGTAAGTGATGTAGGTTATTCACACCGCACCAAAAATTGTTGATCAAAATCTTGATATGATTTTAGCAGGTAGGCGATTTATAGTTAGCGTATGGCAGGGAGATTGGAGGGAGATTGGACCTTTTTTTTTGAATGGACAATTAATAACAAACCATAGAGTTATAATTTCGGTATTAAATGAATTAAGTAATTGTTTCTATTACTATACCTCAGTATTGCATTCGTGCATTTTTAAAACTTTTTTTCATGTTTCCGATCATTCAGAGTTTGAAAATGCAAAAAAAAAAATGTTCGTCTTGTCGTCTGTGTATATGTATGCCGGCACAATAACTCTAGAACGAAAGTTCTGATTGACTTGCGGTTTTGACTTTCTTTAATAATTACTTAACACTTTTTAATATTAAAAATACCTTATTATATTTAATATTAATCCATGCTATGATATTGTTGATTTCCTTCAGGAGCGTCACACAATCTCTGTTTTCACTCCTCTAAAAAGCTTAAAATCATTGGCGAAAGGTAAACAGTCAGATCTACTCATTTTTAACCTAACCTATCCAAACATTCAGATACTAAATATAACAATGTAGTCACATTATAAAAAATCGCCTGTATATTTTGAAAAAGTTACGTGATAATAAAAATATAAGTTTTAATTTTCATTTACTGTAACTTTATTTTTATAATTAATATTAAATGAAACAACCTGTTGAATTTGTGAAATTTTGGTAGCTGTATTGTATTTCCAAAAGAGTAGATAAAAAAAATAACGTCAGAAGAATCAAAATAAAAAAGTTAAAATATTCGAATATAAAGTCGGCTTTTAAAAAATAAACCGTTGGAAGTTTGTTTTGGTAGCGGGTCCTAATCCCGAACTACTTGCAAAGCTCGTATAAAAAGTGCGGAGGTACTTTATCCTAGATAAATCAAAATGATTCAAAAGAGCATGATGGCAAAATTAAATTCAATGTTTATAGCTTACCTACTTCCCATAAGGGGCGTACGATACCTTAGGCAAGTCTCTGGGTTGCCAACAATATCCTACATATGTAATTTTAATCCCTTTTATTAAAAATGTTATCTCGGATCTGCATAGTAACGTGATACTGATAGTATCAGGTTGAAGACCCTTAGCTCGTACAAGTTATAATTTTGAAAAAGACCTTTGAGACCCCCAACGTGAGATTTATGCGTTTGTTATTTTAAACCTTAAAATATTCATTTCGATTGCTTTTTCTCCCGCCACTAAATTTATAAGCTTACTTTCGTATTCAGAAAGGGATTGCACACTAACACTTTTTTATTATGGTAATAAACTTTCGGCTTCATTTTCACAACGCCCGTTCACCGTAGGTACATTAAAATATCGATATCGATATTTTTTATACCTATGCTTCAATTTATTTCTTTGACCTAATTTTTTCAACATACATACATCCATGTCTTTACTGTTT